TCAAAATTCATGAAGACTGGTATCATTTAAAGGGAAAAACAGAAAAACCTATAAACATTATAGGTGGATATATAAAACATTATACTTGGAGATTTTAACACTCTTCTACCATTGATAACAGCAACCAAACAAAAAGTCATTAATGACATTTGAGGGCCGGGGATTTAGCTCAGTGGTTCTGGTGCCTGCCTTGTAAGCTGAGGACCTGAGTTTGATCCCCGGTACCAAAAAAAAAACCAACAAAAAACATTTACTTATTAATGATATCTGAAAACACTATCAATCACTTGACCTAACCTGACATTTTTTTTTTTTTGACAAGGTCTTGCTAGGTAGTTCAGGCTGGCCTTGAACTCATGGCAATCCTCTTGCCCCAGGCTCCCAAGTGCTGGGATTATAGGCGTGTGCCACCAAGCCCAGCTTAATTAACTTTGAAGAAATGAGATTTTAAAGAATGTGTTCTCTGGCAATAGAATTAAATTAGAAATGAAAAACAAATATTAAACTGGGTGTGATGCACATCTGTAATCCCAGCTAATCAGGAGGCTGATATAAAAGGATCACAAGTCTGAGGCCAACCTGGGCAACCCAGTGAGACCATCTCAAAATAAAATAAAAAGGGCTGGGTATGTAGCTCAATGGTGGAGTGCATGCCTAACATGCACAAGACTTTGGGTTGAATCTCTAGTATTTCCAAGCAACAACAACAACCACCAAAAATAAAACCCTAACAGGAATAGGGCCGGGGATTTAGCTCAGTGGTTCTGCCACCTGCCTTGAAAGCGAAAGGTCCTGAGTTTGATCCCCCATACCAAAAAAAGAAAAAAAAGAAAAAAAGAAAAAGAAAAAACCCTAACAGGAATATATCTAGGAAAAAACTGAAAATATTTTAAAGTTAACATTTTCTTATATAACCCAGAAATCTACCAGACAAATCATGAGGAATATCAGAAAATATTTTAAGCCGGATGAAAATACAACATATCAGTTTGTGGGATGTATATAAAGCTGTGTTTAGAGGGAAATTTATAGTTTCAAATGTTTTCTTAGAAAAGGCAGGCTAATGTTCCATTTAAAAAAGCTGGAAAAAGAAATGCAAAATAATATATACTGAAAATAAGTATAAGAAGGGAAATAAAGATATGAGCAGAAATCTACCGACAACAGATCACAGAGAAAATTAAAAAGAGTAATAAAATTGCTAACCCCCTAGGTAGACAAAGAAATAAAAAATGAGAGAAGATACAATTTATCAGTGGTAGGAATAAAAAATGAGACTTCAGATTCTACATAAAAAAGGATCATAATGAAATATTATGAACAACTTTATATCAATAAATTCAATAGCAGATGAAACGGGCAAATTCCTTAGTAATACAACTTGAAAAGATTCACACAAGCTAAAACACAAACTCTGAATACCTATATACTTATTAAAGAAATTAAATTATCAAACTTTCCACAAAGAAAGCTGCAGGCCCAGATAGTTTCATTGCTGAATTCTATCAAATAATTCAGGAAGAAATAAAGGCAATCTTACACAAGCACTTCTTGAACAAGGAGGAGGAAAACTCCCTAAGTCATTTTATGAGGTCTGTGTACTCTGATAAAAAAACTAAAAAGACATTACAACAAAAGAAAATTATAGACCAGTATCTGTTTGTATTTAACAAAATATTAGCAAATCAAATCTAGCTTTTTAAAAAGCCTAACACACCGATGAAATGGAGTTTATTTCAGGGCTATAAGGAATAATTAATGTAATCTACCATAATAAAAGAATAAAGGTAAAAAGCTATGGAATCATTTCTCTCCATATATATATATATATATATATATATATGTGTGTGTGTGTGTGTGTGTGTGTGTGTGTGTGTGTGTGTGTGTGTGTGTGTCATTGATAATAAAAAGCCTTTTTAAAATTAGTAAGAGAAGGGCCGGGGATTTAGCTCAGTGGTTCCACCACCTACCTCGCAACTGCAAGGTCCTGAGTTTGATCCTTGGTACTGAAAAAAAAAATTAGTAACAGAAAAGAACTTCCATCATATGACATCTGGGTATCTATGAAAAATCTAATATTTGACCTAATGGTGAAATATTGAATGCCTTTCCCCTAAGATCAGGAAGAAGCGAAGGATGTCTACTTTCACTACATCTACTCGATATTGTATTAGTGCAATAAGGTAAGAAAAAAAAAATAAAAAAGATGAAACTATTTGCAGATAACATGATTGTTTATATAGAAAACCTTAAGGAATCCACAAAACAACTAGAAGGATTTAGTAAGATTGTGGAATACAAAATCAGTTTATATAAAAATTATATTTTAATTTTAGCAGCAAACAATTGGAAATGAAATAAATCCATTTATAGTAACATCAAAAATACAAAATGTTTAGGCATAAATTGAAAAAATATACAAAACTTGTATGCTTCAGAGTACAAAAAAATGAGAAAGAAACTGTAGACATAAAATATGGAAAGATATATTATGTTTATAAATTGGAATGCTCAGTATTATGGGAACTTCTTTTTTTTTTTTTTTGGTACTGGGGATCGAACTCGGGTCCTTGCGCTTGTGCAGCAGGCAGCGAAACCACTGAGCTAAATCCCCAGCCCAATGCTCAGTATTATGTAGGTGTCAATTCTCCCCAAACTGATATATATATATAGTCAGGATTATTGTAATCATAATCCCATCTCTCCTGTTTTTTTCTCACTTCTAGGTACTGGGGATTGAACCCAGGGCCTTCAGCATGCTAGGCAAGTGCTCTACCACTAAGCTATATCCCCAGCTTTTAAAATTTTGAGACAAGGTCTCCCTACATTGTCCATGCTGGCCCAGAACTCATGATCTTCCTGCCTTAGGCTCTTGAGTAGCTGGAAGTACAGGTGTGCACCACCATGTCCAGCTATAATCCCATCTCTTTTTGCACAGAAAGTGACCAACTGATTCTGAAATTTAAATAGTAAAACAAAGGAGGTAGAATATTCACAGCAATCTTGAAAAGGAAGAACTAGGTTGGGAGCATTTACACCAGCTGACATTTTATGAATTTCTACTAAATTATAGTAATGAAGACAGTAGCTGTGGCCATAAGGACAGACACACAGATAAATGTCAGAACACAGAGTTCAGAAACAGAGCCACATTTAAATGGTCATTTGACCCTCCCCCGCTTAAGGGATTGGAACTCAGGACCTTGTGCTTGCCAGGCAGGCACAGTGCCACCAAGCTATGTCCCCAGCCCCGTCATTTGATTTTTGACAAATATATTAAATCAAATCAATGGAGCATCTTGTCAACAAATAATGATGGTAAAACTGGGTATCCACTTTATTTATTTATCTCTGTGGTGTGGAGATGGAACCTAAGGCCTCGCTCAGGCTATGTAGGCAGGTGCTCTGGCATTGAACTACATTCCCAGCTCTGGACGTCCATGCTTTTTATGAATGAAATAATCATCTTCCCCTGGTCCTAGAAATTCTACTCCTATGTATTTATCTAAAAGAAATGAAAATATAAATCTTCAATAAAACTTGCACAAGAACATTCAAAGCAGCCAGGGATTTAGCTCAGTGGTTCCACCTCCTGCCTTGCAAGTGCAAGGTCCTGAGTTTGATCCCCAGTACCAAAAAAAAAAAAAATTAAAAGAATATTCAAAGCAGCTTTATTGAAGACAGCCAATAACTGGAAACAACCAGTGTCCATAGAGGAATGGATAAATGGGGTATTCATTGAATGGATTATGTGGATCTCAAAAACACATACGGAAAAACCTTAGAAATGTGTAAACTGTATAAAGTTCTAGAACAAGAATAATTAACCTCTGAAAGTATACAGATTAATGTATATTCACCTCTTGGTGAGTAGGGGCAGTAATTGACTGAGAAAATGCAAGAGGCAACTTTAAACAAATTGCAAACTTTAGGTAATATCCACACTGAAATATTTAGGAGTGAAGTACACTTATGTCAGCAATTTACTTTGAATACATCAAAACACAAGAGGAGTCAGGCATGGTGATGCATGCCTGTAATCCTAGCACTCTGGGAGGCTGAGGCAGGAGGATAGAAAGTTTGAGCCCAGCCTGGACAACTTAGCAACTTAGTAAGACCTTATCTCAAAATAAGAAATAAAAAATAAAAAAATGGCTGGAGATATAGCTCATTGTGAAGGTCCTGGGCTCAAGTCCCAGTACGAGGAAAAGCAAAAAACAAACAAAAAGACTCAAGAGGGACTGACTCTCTTTCTGTGCTGGGAATGAACTCAGGGCAATAAGGCAAATGCTCTACCACTGAGCTACACTCTCAGCCATGGATATTCTTTAAAAAATTATTTCAGGGCCAGGGATTTAGCTCAGTGCTTCGGTTGCCTGCCTTGCAAGTGCAAGGTCCCGAGTTCGATCCCTGGTACCAAAAAAACAAAACAAAAAATTATTTCAACTGTTCTGAATGTTTGAAAATTTTCATAATAAAATGTTGAGGAAAAAAGTTGTGTTTTCAATCTTCTGCTCTCTCACATTGCCTGTATAAACTACAACTGAATTTATATGAAGTTGACAGGGAGTCCTATTCTTAGAGTCATGACTGTATCTTTAAAAAAATCTTTACTATAAGAAATAAACCACACCATCCCTTCCTATCAAATGCATATACTTCACCTGCAGAATGACTTCAGTTTCTCATTATGTCCTGACTCTGGCTCAGGTGAGAGAGTGTGCAGTTTCACACACTGTGCCTTTGCTTAGATGACTGTTTCCAAACCCAAACATCTAAAGATGGGCATCTTCCCAGACTACAGCCCTTAGCACAATCAAATGTTTTTGCTGAGCTTGGCATCTCAAAGTGAAATGCAAGGCTCATACAGTGCCAACAAAATATATCAAAAGACAATGGCAAGAATAACAGACATTTTACTGTTAAGGAGGCGGAATTATCTAATAAATTAAGAGATTCAATGTTTATATCTTCAAGAAAAAACTTCTGGGTTTAATTACCTTTATCAAGAGATGCTCCAGCCATATGGTAAAAGCTCAATGCAGTGTCCACGTCATTAATATTCTTTAGAAAAGTAAAGAAGTTCTCCACCTCCTGAAACGTCAGACCCTGAAAGAGGAGAGACAGAAAGGTAAGGAAGACGTGTAGCAAAAGCAACTCGAAATGCTGAAAATTCTGCAACTCAGAATCTGTGCTCAAGTCAGGTGTGGTGCACACCTGCAATCCCAGCACTCAAGGTGGAGGCAGGAGGATTGTGAATTCAAGCTCAGCTACATACTGGTAATGAATTCAAGGCCTGTCTCAGACCACCAACTAACCAACCAACCAACCAAAACCAAAATCTGTACAGAGACTGAATAAAATGGTCAAAGAATATCAAATTGTAGAGTTTTACCCTGAGAAAAGCAAAGTGGCTAACTGCTGTCCCCTCACATACAAAATCTGATATAAAGCTGCTTGCAGTGATGGCTGGGTATCTTTAATGAAAATATTTCAGAGAGTGTTTTCCAATTAATCACACTATTACGACACTTCTAAGTGGGCTATGCCCAGTTGATCTGTTACTCATCTTAGAACTGGGACTGTCATTTGAATAATTTGCTCACAGACCAGTTAAGCTTTTTGAGGCTTAAGCCAATTAAAGAATCACCAAAGTCAGAGATATGTAGGGGAAGGGTTTCAGTGTTTAGCACAATCCAAGGACCAGGGAGGCTGTTCATTATCTCAGTTTAAAAGCTACTAACAAAATAATTTGCCCCTTAATTTTAAAAGGATGAAATTTTGTGAATAAAGAAATTGTTTTTGAAAGCTGTCCAAAGATTTGCTTATCTGAATTCTAGTTTCTATGGTAGCTCAAAGGAAGTATTTGCATGAATAGGGACAGTGGGGAGTTGGTTTGCAGAGTAGAAGAGCTGTCCTATTTGCTGTCCCCCATTTGTCACACATCATTCTGTGGTGGAAGTGAATGCAGTTTCTAAGGAGTGAAGACACTGGAGAGTGGTGTAGATGCTTTTAATGACAAATCAGACCCTTAATGGATTGCAGATGTTGACAAGCTTCTATTTAGTGCTGCTTCTCTTTTGATTTTCATTTCCCCAAACTACAAATCAGCTTGGGAACCAACACCGGGATCGCAGTAACGAAACTTTAATACAGACAATCCACAGTTCTTTCTCGGTATGCTCCAAACTGGGTCAACTGTACTTTCTCATTTTACCAAGTGGAAAGCTAAAATACTGTTTTTGTATGATTCTGTCATATGATCCTATATAATTTTTCCCTTGAGAATTGAAGAATTTAAAAACCCTTTTTATTATGAACATCATGACCATAGAGAAAGGTGCATAAAATGTGAATGTACAACTCAACAAACTGCCATAAAATGAATACCAATAGAATCTGCATTCAGGTTAATGAACAAACTGCTGTCAGCATCCCAGCAGCCTCCTTCCCTCCCATAACACGTCCCTTCCCAATTGTAAATTCCAGCTCCACCCACAGCCCCAGTGATAACTACTATTCTGACTTGAAGGGGTTCATTTCCTTGATTTAAAAAAATTTAAATAGTATAGCTACCAATTTATGCATCCTTAAACAGAAACAGTTTAATTTTATAAATGGAATTATGCAGTACGCATTGTTATATATGGCTTCTGTCTTTAAAATTTGTTCATGTTTTTGTGTATGTCTGTATTTATTCATTTTTACTGCTATAAAGTATTCTATGTGAATGTACCACAATTTGTTTATCTATTTCAAACAGGCTATTTCCACCTTTTGGAAATTATGAAGAGTAGTGCATACATATTTAAGCATTCATTCAAACATTTTATGAAGTACTGTATCTACTATATATCAAGGGCCATAATTATTGGCAGTAGACTTCAAGTCCCTTTCCCCCTCATTTGAGGTCATTCCCTTGGCCTTGACTTGCATTGTCCAAGATAATGGATGCTGTAGTATGCTAGTCAGTGTAGGCACTAGGCTAGACTCAATCTTAGAGAGCAGAATACCACAGGGCAGCTGCACCATGTCCCCACCGCCTCCATTGTCCAACAGGCCCAGGCCTGGTTCCCAATGGTGTCTGGTTCCACATTCTGGTGTCCCAGCTCCTTGGAAATGAACTCAGGTCCAGCAAGGGCGAGGCAGGGGCAGCACATACTTGGTGCTCTCTGATGTCTATGTGGTGCCCTTGTTGCAGAAGTGCAGCTGGCCAGAGGCTGTGACTCACCAGTTGAATGCTGTAACTGAGTCTGCTGCCCCAGGCCAGGGGGCAGGAGGTGTGGAAAGTGCATCTCATATAGTTTGAGAAGGTCACAGGAGAACCCATGGGAATCACTCTGAAACTAAATACAAAACACTCCTGTGGTATGGTCAGAACTCTTCATGTTGGCATGATTCACAGATAAGACTCCCTTCCCGTGGGGGATGAGATTCTAGAAATCAATAACACATATGTGACAAATTGCTTAGTGGGTCAGCTGCAGAAGGTGATCGAAGAAACCAAAGGAATGATGTCATTAAATGTAATTCCCAACCAGCAAAGTTGTCTTCCTGCCCTTCAGATGTTCATGAGAGCACAGCTTGATTATGATCCCACAAAGGACAGTCTGATCCCTTGTGAGGAGGTGGAACTAAAGTTTGTCATTGGGGACATTATCTAAATCATCAACAAGGATGACAGTGGCTGGTGGCCGGGACAGTGGAAGGTTCCTCCAAGGAGTCAGCAGATTGATTCCTTCCCCTGAACTACAGGAACGGCGAGTGGAGAGTGTAGCTCAACCTGCTTCAAGTGAAACCCCAAGCTGCAGTCCCTTTGGGAAGAAGACCAAATACAAGACAAGTACATGGCTAAGTACAGCTCAGTTTCTGACCAGTGGGATGTTGTTTCTTTTCTTTTTTTTTTTTTTGGTACCGGGGATCGAACTCGGGTCCTTGCGCTTGCATAGCAGGTGTCAAAACCACTGAGCTAAATCCCCGGCCCGGGATGTTGTTTCTTATGAGAAAGTTGTTTGGCTTCTTATGTTCAAGAGAAGACCTCGGTGCTGATTAGAGGTAGCAGGGTGGGTCCCAGCCACATCAAGAATGTTCCACTTGGCCAGAATCCAGAGAAGTGTGTATACCCTGCCTCATATACAGCACAACCACCAAGGAAGAGTGAGGAGGATGGGAAGGAGTGCTACTTCATTTCAACAGAGAAGAAGACAAGGAACTTCTCTGCCAGTGAGTTCTTGGAGTTTGGCAGATACCAGGGCAACACATTTTGTGGCAAATTTGACACAGTGCACCAGATTCATAAGCAGGACAAGACTGCCATCATTGACACCGATCCCCAAACCCTAAAGATTACCTGGACAGCAGCACTTTCACTTTTCATCATGTTCACTGCATCTCCTGACCAAGGTGCTTGGATGAAAGCCCTGCAGCACGACTGCAAGGCTATTCGCAGCCAGTATGCTCATTTCTCTGACCTTTCACTTGTCAATAATGGTGATGAAATCCTTAAGAAACTGCAGACGTCTTTGACCAGGCATGCAGTTCTCCACAGTGGGTGTCCATCTCCTGGGTTACTAAACTTGCAGAATGGGGCAACTATTGTGCGCCCCTCTCCTGCATTTGGAAGTCCATTCCCCTGTTCTAAGACAATCAGGGCTGCTTCAACTATTTCTGTATCAGCTCTGCAACTTTCCTAAATAGGCTGATAGGATCCAGGCTTCCTTCTCAGGCACCTGAAAGGGTGGGTTTGGTTTTCCTGATGGGGTCCTATTGATCTGGATTTCAGAAAGATGCCTGGAAAGTGGGAGAAAGAAATACAAGCAAAATGCAACTACTAACCAAAGATTATGCAATGGGCCCTATCCCTCTGAAAGCCTGAGATCCTTCAACTACAGTAGATATTTTTTCATTTGTCTTTATTTTGGAGAAAGCATTTGGAAATTTCTAAAACGCTAAAATGAAACAGCTATGCAATAGTTATCTGCTTCTAGGAAAACTCTCAAAAGCAATAAAAATGTTGCTGTTAAAATGGAAAAAAAAAAGTATACTTTTGGACCAGAAGCACAGGGTCTACAATCCCACTGCTTATGGGTAGATACATTGAGACCACTTTACTTTCCCTTCCATCAAATGACATGCAAAGGTGAAAGCAATCCAAATGTCTATTGATGGAGGAAAGGATAAACAAAATGTGGCACACACACACCACATACGGACACATTGGAATATTATTCAGCTTTTGAAAGGAAGGATATTTTGATATAAGGCACAACATGGATAGATTTTGAGATTACACAGATGAAATAAGCCAGCCACAAAAGGACAAAAACCAAAATTGTATGGCTGCATTTATAGACTGGTCACATTCATAGAGACAAGAAGTAGAATGGTGGTTGCTAGGGGCTGGGGAGATAGGGAATGGGGCACTTTGGTTAGTGGATAATGGATGGTGGTGATGGCTGCCCAACAATGTAAATATATTCAATGCCACTTGATTGTACACTTAAAAATGGTTCAAGTGGTAACTTTTATATTATATACAAAAATACACACCTATATTTTGACACATACACAATACATGCTAAAGATTTAAAAAAACTTTTCTTATTAAAGCACAGATTTCTGTAGGGGATGGGGCCGTGGAGGACTGAATTGTTGAAAGTATTTTTGAGGTCTTTTAGCTAACATAAAATCCCTAAAACAGAAAGGCCATACTAGAGGGAATATTTCACACTCTAATGTTTGTTAGTTAATATTTTGTGAAACATCAAATACTACAGTGCAGGACCAGACTGCTTATGCTGGGAATTATTTGAGGACAGAGAGAGAGAGAGAGAGGGAGTGAGAGAACAATCTGAACCGAGTGCTATTTATTTGATGATTTAGAAAAACAGTAGGGTACAAATCACATTATGTCACTATTAAATCTAAATATAGGTCAGGGATTTAGCTCAGTGGTTCCACCACCTGCCTCGCAAGCGCAAGGTCCCGAGTACCATCCCTGGTACAAAAAAAAAAATCTAAATATATAACACTTTGGCTTTATTACATAGATATAATAAAAAATATCTATTGAGCACTTACTAACTACTCAGCACCATGCCAAGAACAGT